AGGGAAAAAAACAGTAAAAGAAAGAAAATACTGCTTCTGCAAAGCGGCTGCTTTTATTTTTATTTTGGAGCTGAGCAGGAGACAAGACAGAAAAACAAATGGTCTAGTAGGATAGCATATGAAAGCCACTTTCTAAACACAAACCAACCTAAGTAAGGATAACAATTTAAAAAAATTAAGTAGACAGACTTCTTACGCGTGCACAGCTTAAGTATTTTCTGTAAAGCAATCTTACTAACAGATGTCAGGTAAGACTGCTTGACTAAGCTATTCTAGACAAGTCCTGTAGAGAAATAGGGTACAAATTACAACTATAGTAATTGACAAGAAACACACAGTCTTCCATAGTCTTCCATCCAGCAGTCAAAAAAAAAAAAATAAATCTGTAAATGCATCTTTAGGTTTTTCAGTCCATCATTTCTTTCAGAATTGCTACATCGGTAAAAAGTATACTAATTTTCTGACAGAGAAAAAAAATGTCCCAGAAAGGCTGTATTTACATTTGCCTCAAACAACAAACAGAGAAAAAACACAAAGCTTTTAAAAAAAACAAACAAAAAAACCCAAACACCACAAAACACACAAACAAAAAACCCCCAAAATCAGCACCTTCATGCGACATCAGTAGCTTAGCACCTCAACTCAGTTTGATGTCCAGCACTCAGATATTCTTTGGTCCCTCACCATACTCACCTCTACAGAATATGACATTTCTTCATTGCTGTTGTCATTGATTTTCTCAAACAGTTCTTCACACAGCTGGAAAGAGATTAAACCCGAGTCAGAAATTAGTCTTCCCTGAGTAGTAACAAGTAACTACTATGACATGCCAATAAACTGGCTTTAGAGTGAAGGCAGGAGAAGAAAAAGAACCTATCAAATCAACCACATACAGCCTCACTGGGAAGATATTTAATCTCAATTCTACATCACTATCATTCAACCTTATTTTATATAGCACGTCAACAATCGTTCTAGGTTTAACCAATATTATTATTCTGTACTATGAAATTAGAAAAAGCCTGTAACTAAAATTAGCAGTATTAATTTTAGAAAGAATTACTGATATCCTTCATCCTTTCCGAGCCTCATAAAAACAATATTCTATTTATTTGGTGTGCTGAAGTTCCAGGATTCAGATTTAAATCAACAGGCATAAATTATTTTAAAATTTGTTAACTGTATTTTCCTATGAAGGATACTTTAACTATCAGTGGTGTACTGCTTCAAGAGTGCTTGCCTACAAGTAACTGAAATGAGAGACCTAAAATTAATATAATAAAGGAAGAAGGAATGAACAGTGGACAAGCCACGGATATGTAACCGGACATTAAAAAGCATGGGTACAGACAGGAATAAGAGTAGAAAGAGGTTTCTGGAACAGGTATCTACAAGCCACTATATGAAAAGTAAACGGATTATGAAGAATACAGGCAATTTTGAAAGCATACACTCTGAAGTATTCAGTCAACACATGCTTAAAGTATCATGCTCAGTTGCCCTAAATATTTTTTCCCAATGTTTTGATACACTTCTTTCTTACCAAGATACATTATTCAGTTTTTAGCCGTGGGAAACTTGTTTCCACAAAAAGTTTCTGGCATGTTCATCAGTAATACCACCTTTTGAATTCC